CACCATAACTTGAGGTGCAATCGTTCAATTGAATAGTTCTAGCTATGGTTAGAAATCTTGAAGAATAATCTAAAACTTTCATGTTTGAAGGAAATTTAATTGAAGCCAAGAACGTGATGGAAAATACCTTGGAAGATTGCCTAAAAAATCTGCCTAAAACTTGTCCCACTTTGACATCCTTGAAATCCTAACTTGGATACATCATAACTTGAACTCTACACATCCAATGGAGGACTTCTAGTACTCAAAATAAATCTTGGAGGATGCTCTACAACTTAAATGTCGGAGGAAAATTCATTTGAGGCTTGCATCACCATGAAAGATAGGCTTGAGTACATGTACTTCAAGCTGAATTTCCATACTTAGAAAAATTTCTAAGTGTTGGAATGAAAAACCTCTTTTTTTCTCAACTTTAGCTCTTCATATCTCTCAAACTATGGATCTTTTGGAATTTATTTCTTCTACAAACTTGTAGTTCATGATTTCCTTTTTAATGTGATAACAAGTTTTCTCCCATCGGATCAAAGATGAAAAAGTTATGGATGTTGCAAAATGGCTAGAATTTGGATTTTTTACACTTTGAAAATATTTCAATCAAACCCTAATCCGACCAAACTCCTGATTTTATGTTTTTCCTTGACCTTGATTGTTCCTAACACATGAAAACACTTGGGAACACATAATATACCCTTGATTGGCCTTGAAATCCAAGACTTTGACCCCATTGAGCCACACTTGACTTTTGTTGATCAGATGGAAACCCTAGCACTTTTTCCATTTATTGAAGCTCTTGTCATGACTTGTAATGATACCTAATTCATGTAGAGAACCCTCAAGATGCGTGTTGAGCCTTAGAACCATGTCTTTCCCAAGGAACTAGCCAAAAATTCCTTTTGACCAAAACCCTAATCCAGTTGTTCACAAGATAGGAGGAGACGATCAATGCTTGTAACTTTGATCCAGATGATTGTGAGACATGCCTTGGTGATGATAGGACCTTGGGGATTGAGAATACCACAAGGTTGAGAATAAATCCTTGCTTGAGCTTTGAGAATCATAAGATACCTTGATCCCTTGCCTAGAACCAATGCTATGCACAAATAATGATGCAAATGATATGAAATATAAGTCAAGAGATTAAGAAAAAGGTAAGGCAAATTTTGGGGGTGTTACACACATGCATGTTGAGTCAGTTGTTGGATGCATTGCATTTGTGTTGCATTTGATGATTTCTTGGATGTTATGTTGTGCGGATGAGAATACTTGATATATTTATATGGTTGTATTTGGTGTGTGATGTTGTTACATTAATCTACTTCTGATTGTCTTTTACCGTTATTATTGAATCGTAGTTTATCGTTTTTATTTAGTGGTTCCTTGCTCTGATCATGTAACATCGGGTTGGGATGAACGCTTGATTTGATTTTTGTATTATTATTGTCGAAGTTACAAACATTTTGTGTTGTTGAGATTTTTAAGTTGTTTTGAGTTGATTGTCATACTCTTTTAATTATGCTATTAAGTTGAAATTCATGAGACTTAATGTCTTGAGTTACAATGCTATTGTTATATGTTTATCACTAAATCTGAATGGTACCAGAAGCCAATTTAAATTCATTAAGTGTAGAGACAATTATCTTGGATATAACTCATCAGTTGGATATTTGTACATAATTAATTTTTAAATTAACTTTTTTTGGAAAATTTTAAAAAAACAAAACAAAAAAAGTAAAAGTTTTTATAATTAAATATAATAGTTAGTGAAAATATAATATATAAGTAAACAACTGGAAATTAAAATTGTATAAATTAAAGAGTAATTCTTACTTGTTGTGTTGTATTGTTGTGGTGTGTGTCTAATAAAAAAACTGTGTGATTTTGAAAAGGCCAAACACAACTTTTATTATTCGTTTTCATCTATTTATATTTCTTAATAAATTTGGCTAGTGAGATTTGGGTATAATACTCCCATATTAGATTTCCTATTATCATTTATGGGTGTTTAGTATAGTTTGTTTTAATTTAAGAATAAAAGAATCAAATACAAGTATTATACAAAATAAAAAAACACATATATCATTTTTGTAATTAAAGTTTTATCTAATCGTGAGCTTTTTCTCATAAAATATGTAGATTAATTTTTGTAATTATTAATATAACAATAAATAAAAATGTGTTTTTTCATTTTTTTCATTAATATTTAATTCTTCACAAATATAAAAAATACAATTGGATTAATAGGGTTGTTATAATAACAAATGTATATGTAATTAAATATTTTAGGATAGGGATAATTTCATGATATCAGGATTAGTAAAATATATAAATTAGGATAATTAATTATTAACTTATTTTCTATTATAATCAACATAAAAAACAAAAAATACAAAAAAAAATCATATCTAATTTATTTAACTATTTTTACTGTGGAGAAAAATATTGGAAAGTACAAAGAATTTGTCTTTTATCAAGTTATGGGAGTAATTTATTTAATTATGATATTTAGACATAAGAATCAAATTAAAAAAATAATAATAACAAACAATAAGGAAAATACATAAAAATAGATAATTAAGTAGGGTTAATTAATTCTTTTATTAATAATTATAATAATTAGGGACATTGTTTAAATTGATTAATACCTTACGGCTTAATTAATATATTTGGGGATTAATTAATGAAAATAATTCTATGGGATAATTTTAAAGGATAATTAGGGGATAAAAATAGGATTCTATGGGATAATTTTAAGGGGGTAAATATTAAGGTTAAAATGAGATAAATTTTGAGATAAAGATTTGTAATAAATATTAGGGATAAAGTGGGATAAATTTTGTGATAGAGATTTGGGATAAAACTCTTATGATACAAAGAGTATTAAAAATTAGGATTGATATAACATGAGTATTTTAAATTATTACAAATAATTTATTTTCTAAATAAATTAAAGAGATATATATTTTTTAAAAATAAAAATAAAGTAATGAAATTAAAAGGCATAGATTTTTGGGATAAAACTCTTAGGACACAAAGAGTATAAAATAAGAATTTGGGGTAAGAGATAAGACATTACTTTTTTTATAAATTATTATAATTAATTTATCTTTTAAATAAATTAAAGGGATATTTTATAAAATAACATTGTAAATAAATAAACATTTAAGTAATAATCAAACACACACACTAGGAAAACGACTAACCCTAGAATCGAAGGAGGATCCTATTGAGTAATCGGGTGAGGGTAACCTGATTTAGTAGGCGCAGTTTCCTTTTAGTGCCCTTTTTATTTCTTTTTCCGATTTTTATTTTTCCTCAGGTAACTAAACCTAGTGCACAAATCATATATATGTCATATTGTATGGATAAACTATTTTGAGAATACTTCTCAAAAGATTTAGAGACTTCGATACGAAACAAATTTAAACCGATATCCAATTATGGATGCTATAAGTGTTCATATGTATGCCAGATTATATGGATAAACTACTTGGAGAATACTTTTCAAAAGATTCAGAAACTTCGATACCAACTATTTTATTATTAATATTCTATTATTCCTAGCATTATACAAACTAGCTTTTCATAAGTTTTTTAAGATAGCAGATTTTTATTTTTGTATTTTCATTCAAAGCACTGTATACAATATAATAATAATAATAATAATAATAATAATAATAATAATAATAATACAATAATAATAATAATATAATAATAATCAAATTTTCACACTTGTTTAAACAGGGCAACCATATAGGCTTAAAATATTTTTTTAAGGAAAATGCTAACGAGTGCCCTCAGGGCATTGGTTAAGAGATTAAAATGGTAAGTTGGACATTATTTAAGAGATTGAAAATATATTTTTTTTCTAAATATATGTGTATTCAATGCCCTGAAAAGAGAAATAATCAGACTTTTTAAAGAATATTGTGTGTATTGAGTGAACTAAATATAACATATTTTCCTTATTTGGAATTCTTAACTAGTGTCCTGAGGGCACTGGTTAGCATGACCCTTTTTTTAATAACTGAGGCCTAACCTTTTTAACTAAATTGACCAAAAAACATATGTCTTTTCTATTTAAAAACGTCTGGTCTGACCTGATTCTGTGTAGGTTAGGTTGTAGGCCCCTGTTAGTTGGTATGACCTATTCCCACTTCTAATCATCAGCCAATACCTCTTTTGGTTCCAATACGGAACAAATAACTTTTCATGTCTTAAGAAAATATATTTTTAAAGTATTATGTTTCATACTTTGCAATATAAAAAATAAGTAAATATCAATCGTTAGTTGATTTAGTGGTGATTGACGATAAATTTAGTAGGGAGGACCGTGATTCAATCCTACACAACTATGATCGGGAGGGGACTAAGACAATTTAATGCTAAAACTGACTTTCGAGTCATATTAGTTAGTCCAATAGACTATATAATGGTGGTAAATACCAAAAAAATATAATTAATAAAGTTTTTAATCAAAATAATATAATATAATATGACTCATTTGATTGCCATATAAATGCTTTGAATTTAAAATTCATATCAAGGGATAAAAATATAATAAAAGTTATATAATATTAATTTAGAAGACTTAATTATTAAGAAAATGTCAATTTAATTTTCTAAATTACCATAATAACCTAATGTCCCAAGAATAAGTCACACTAATACATTAAGAAATTTTAATTATTAAAGTATTATTTAACTATATAAAAAAATTAAAATTTTAAACCGATATTATGTAATAAAATATGACCCTTTTTTTTCTTTTTGGTATAAATGCTTCGAATTTGAAAATAATAATAAGAGTTAAAAAATATGTAAAATATTTATTTAGAAAACTTAATTATTAAGAAAAGTCTATTTTTATTTATGATATTACTATGTGATGTCACATTTGTGTAATTCATGTGCAATATAAATAAGACTCAATTCTGCAAAGGATAATTCATAATAACACATTTTAAAAAGCTTAGAATTAGAGCAATTACAGTTCGAGCATCATGAAATTTCAATATGTCTTTCTTCTCTTTGTTGTTCTAATGACTTCTACTATAGGTGTAAAAAATCAAGTTATCGCGAGTGTTTGGAATCCAATCCAGAATGTAAATGATCCACATGTAATCGACATTGCCAAATACGCTCTTACCGAGCATTTCAAGAGAAGCAAATTATATCTGACGTTTGATAAGGTCATTAGTGGTGAGACAAAGGTTGATGTTGGAACGACATATTGTCTCAATATTTCAGCTACTTTCGTTATTTCTAATAATTATAATGTTGTTGTGTTTGAGAATAAACAATTTAGGAACCTCATTAAGTTTGTCATTCTTCCTGGTTAATTATTAAATGTTTATGATTCTAAGGTCTCACAACATCATTTTGATGTAAATTTATGATTATTGTATCAATAATAAATAATGTTTTGCATATTATAAATGAATATGAACTTAAACTTATATAAAAGTTTATTGAACTCGATTGTTATTAGCTTATATATTAGTTTAGTGTACTTAGCCTATATATTACTTGTTCAGTTAAGATCCAATGGTTGTTAATTAATCTTGACTTGTATATATATATATATATATATATATATATATATATATATATATATATATATATATATATATATATATATATATATATATATATATATATATATATATATATATATATATATATATATATATATATATATATATATATATATATATATATATATATATATATATATATATATATATATATATATATATATATATATATATATATATCATTCACCTCATGTACACAAGAACTATTGAATGTAACAGTACTTTTTCATCTATCTTTCTTCTCTGCACTTTCTATTGCATTCTGTTACATTTCAGTTACAAGATCAGTTACTTTCATCTCCATCAATGACATACATCACCATTGTTGATATGGTACCAGAGCTCATCAAGCTCTGGTAGCCATTGTCTCTTCTTCTCCTGCAACATCGATTGAAGGTTGTCTCAATTCTTTCTCTCCTTCGTCTATCTCGATTTCTGCATTCTTCTGTTCATCTTCTTGTTTCTCTTCGATCGCGATTCTTTGCATTCTTTCTTCTGCTTCAATGGCTTACCAGAGTTACGCAGATTTCTCCACCAATTCAGCTAATCCCTATTATTTACATCCAAACGAAAACCCAGCACTTGTGCTCGTGTCTCCTCCTCTTGACGTCAACAACTACCACATTTGGGCGCGTTCGATGCAGATTGCATTGATATCCAAGAACAAGGACAAGTTCATTGAAGACACCCTTCCTAAACCACCGGTATCTGATCCCCTTTATGCACCATGGATTCAGTGTAATACTATGGTTCTTGCTTGGATTCAACGTTCAATTTTTGAGTCAATTGCGAAGTCAGTGCTATGGATGGATAACACAGCTAGTGTTTGGAGGAACTTGCAAATTAGGTTCTCTCATGGAGATATTTTCCGCATTTCAGACATCCAAGAGGAATTGTACAAATTTCGTCAAGGTACACTCGATGTCTTTAATTACTTTACTCAAATGAAAGTCTTGTGGGACAAACTTGAAAATTATCGTCCCATTCTTGTTTGTACTTGTGCTATCCCATGCTCCTGTGATGCTATCGCGTCTGTTCAGCGATATAGGGAACAAGACTATATGGAAATTTCACAAAAGTTTTATATATGACTTTTTAACAAGGTGCATAAATGATCTTCTTAAAAGAAAGAATTATAAAATTTGTAGGAAGAAAAAAAAAAGAAAGATACCATGCCTAACTTTAGAATTAAGGGTAGATTAAGGGTAACCTTTAACTTCTAAATTTTAATAGACAAAGCTCAAATATCATCTTATATAGTTGTAAAATTGTAATACCAAAAAATTTGTTTCTAACTAAGTATCTATATTGCATGAAATCCAAGTGGTTTGTGGAATTAAGCGTAGTTAAGAAATTGAGTTAGGGGGTATTAGGATCTTTTTTCCTAGGAAATATTAGAGCTAAAAGATGAGAGAAACATATCATATTTTACATCTCATTAAAAAAGTTAGAGAGAGGCGAGAGAACTCCAAAAATTGTAGATAGAAAGTTCCACTAGGGAGAGAGAAGAGGAAGGAGGTAGAATTTGCACCAAAGAAGTTATTTCATGTAAGAAGGAAGATATCACTCCAAAGGAAGAAGAAAAGGCATCAAGTATTCTAATTCATCTTCATCCAGTCACCTTCTTGAACTCAGAAGCAAAGAGTTTAGGTGGGGTTCTTAACAAGGCTTTGAATCTTGAATGTTACGATGATAGAACTAGGGGTGGCAAAATGGATGGATTGGATGGATATGGATTGGATTGTTAATGGATGGATTAAAACAATTCATTAGTCCATTTACAATCCACTAAAATTTTCTTAAAATTATCCAATCCATCCATTAACATATTTTTAATGGATGGATATCCATCCATCTGACTTTTTTTTTATTTCGTAAAAATAAATATATTTTTTTATTTTTAAAAAAATTGATTTTATTTTATTTTTGAAAAATTCATTTTTTGTATTTTAAAAAAAATATTTTTTAATATATTCATTAAAAAAACTGAATTTTTTGTATTTTAAAAAAAAATTGATATTTTAATTTTTGAAAAATATCGATTTTTTTCCCAAGAAAATAAAGTTGTTTTTTTTTTTCGAAAAGCAAATCAGTTTTTTATTCTGAAAAAAAACCGATTTTTTTTGGAAAAAAAACAGATTTTTTTCAGAAAAAAAACAATTTAAAAAAAATTAAACTTTTTTTTTCGAAAAAAAAATCGATTTTTTTTATAAAAAAAATTATAGTTTTTTAATTATTTTAAAAAAAATAAATCTAACGAAAATAAATAATCCATTGGATCCTTAAAATATGTTGGATGAATTGAATCCATCCATGCATATAAATGGATGGATTTAATCCAATCCATTAACTTATTTTTTGTGTGGTGGATGAATTAGATGAATTTTTTGATGGATGAATTGGATGAATTTTGTCTTAATGGATTCAATTGTCGCCTTTAGATAGAACCCTTGCATGTAATGATACCCACATGGGTTACATGTAGACTTTAATTGTTAGATGTTAAAGTTAAGTCTTTCTTCCTTATTCTATAGTCAATTGATACTTGAATTAAACTAGAGTGTTAAAAGTAAATTAGGAAGAGAGCTATGGATTTTATTTGAATGATATATGCAAGAATTTGAAGAAGCTCTGGTATGTTACGAGTCATAATGGCTTCCATGGCCAACCCATAGGCACTTATGGAATTTTGCATCAAAGGATGGAATCTGAGCAAGAGGGATTCTAGGGCCTACTACAGTCTATAGTACACACAATGGCTAGGTTGTAGTGGCCTCATGTTTTAGTACATGGGAAATAGTTTTGGTATGCTACAGTTGTAGATGCCCTAGGTTTTATGTGAAATATTTTGTATATTATAAACCATAAGTTAATTTGGTTAATGGTTGATGGGTTAGTAGGAAAGGAAATTTGGCAAGGTTAGTGTTTGGGTCTGGATATATATTAGTTATTCAAAGGCTAGATACTTATGATAAATGAAAATCTATATAAAAGGGGGTATTTCTTTAGGAAGACGTGATGGAAACCATATGTGGACTAGATGAAGTCGTAGGTGAAAAATCTAAGTGGTGACATCTATATTAACAAGTAAATTTATTAGAAGTTCATAGTTATGATATGAATGTACTTATATCTCCCAACAAAAACTGGACGGTAGTGCCAAAATTAATACGCAGGGAGAATGGTCATGTCTTACTGCGCATGCCACGACTGTATAGCCCAGAGCATTGTGGGAGTCTCACAGAGTCATGGTAAGATGTTGATGATCCAAAAACTAGACTCAAACATGGGAGACCTTTGCAATTATTAGTATGTAGGGTTATTGATAGGCCATAAGTATACGCTTATATCGAGTAATATAAAAATGTATCAAATCCATAGAGACTAGTTATCTAGTACCGTTTTCTATCATTTTGGTGTGTGCATTTGAGGCTTTACATAATAATTGAATTATTTATTATTAAATCAAGAATCCGAGACTATGATTCTTGTTGCCTGAATTGACTCCTACAAATTGTCATATTAATCGTAACGAGCATTTTGAATTTTGTAGAAAATATGAAAACTAGTGGTTACGTTGATCAATGTATTTTAATACACCCTATTTTATTATCAAATCAAGATTTATCGCGTTAACTTTGTTGCTTTTATTGTGTATTTGAAGTTAAGTTAAATTTTTATTTTATTTTATTTTCGTTGTTTATTTTCAGAATAAACTATAATTTGACACATTCTCACTATGCAGATCATTCTCATTATGCAGATCATAAGTTGAGCTACAAGAATCCGATATAATCGTTCGAATATACGTTGGAAAGGTAATACAAAACATACAAGTTTCATGTTTATGTCATTATCTAACTCGGAGTGCATAGGAGTCAAATTATTAATTTTCGTTCCTGACTTAATAAAAATAGAGTTAGTCTTTGGGCTAAACTTATGTTTTGTGGACTGGTTGTAAAAGTCCAATTCTTGTTATTACTCAAGTTATTACCTCTTATAAAAGATGGTGTGTTTACATCACGTACATTCTCTGTAATACTCTCTTTCTCTACGCTCGGATACTTGGAGTAATTCTAAGAGTAATTTGTACAATGGTAAATTACAACACCCTATTTCATATCTAAGACACCCTATTTATAATAGAAAAAATAACTATTAATAACCTCCAACATCACCACCTTTTGCCACTTGTCACAATGCATGGATCTACTGCTCATAAGGTGCCACGTGTCCTCTTAGGCATTTGGCAAACGAAATTGTTCTCTTCAAACTTTTGAATTTCAAATCTTCAATAAATCACCAAACAGCAAAACGGTCGAAACCCTTGTGGTTTCTCTTCCATCCTAGTGAGTTCTTCGACTCCTTCCTTCAGCCGCCTCACACCTTTCGACCAACCTTCGCTTTCAACTTGTTGTTTGGCACTTTTCCTTAAATTCCTTTATTTTGAAATAGGCGTCAAATTTAGGAGCTAACAGATACATATGCACGAAATGCGATGTCTTGGCAAGCATACTTAGGACTAACACCTTGGGCCTCTTTTCAACCCTTTAGCATACATATAACAGATAACAAACAACGCAAATGCTAACAAGAGGTTCCTGTAGAGTACTATAGATACTTAGGATGCTAACACCTTCCCTAGGTATAACCAACCCCCGAACCTTAGATCTCCTGCATTGTTTTTACAGTGAAATTAGGGTTTTCGTTCTTTACCCTTTCCTTTGGATAAATCAAAGCTCGGT